CTGAATAACTACTACAAAGACAACAATATGCAATGTATTAATTATTGTAACTCGCCTACTAACCTATTTTGAAACAGTCTTATTGCTCTTTCTTTCTCAATAAATAAAAAAATAAAAAGGCCAGCGATGGACTTGTGATGCCTAATATATAGAGTCTAGTGTGATCCTTAAAATCTTCAGATTATTTGCTCTGCTAGCAACCTTAATTGTACAGAAGTGGTTAGAAGGTCCAAGAATTTTGGCAAACCCATTCTTAGTTACTTTTCTCATTGTTAAAACAAAAATACGTTAACACCTAAAATTAAAGGAGGAAATGCTTATTTCAGCTCCTGGTTTGTAGGTTTCAGTCCACAGATGGCTGGCTCCAAGGCAGGGTGGCACAGCGGAGGGGTATGTCAGAGAAGAAACAGTCCTGGGCAAGCAAGCAGGAGACAGCAAAACAGCAAGCTATTACAGCAGCAGCAAGCCTACCTTTATATTTCTTCCAGGATGTAAGTTTATTGATTGGTGCCACCCACACTTGGGTGGGATACTGTTAATCCCAACCTCACATCCTCAATCCAAATTCACACACACTAATCCAGCTACTCTGAAAACTCCTAACCTATGACCACGTGAAGCATTGGGAAACATCTCCACAGAAGCCATAACATTCCACCCCTCCCCATCCTACAAAGACTCACACACGTCTCTTTAAGAAAAAGGAATTTAGTTCATCTCTAAGAGTTCTTAAAGTCCTAAAAGTTTCAACATTGCTGAAAAGTTCAAGGCCAAAGTCTCCTCTGAGATTTAAGGCAAACTCTTAGCTGTAAGTCCCTCTACAAATGAGAAGGAAATCAAACAATTCTAATATACAATGGTGCAAGATAAACATTCCCATTCCAAAAGGTATAAATGGGGGATAGAAAGAAATGGGAGCAGAGCAAGTCCAAATTCCAGCTGGGGGGCCGGGGAGATAGCTCAGTAGAATAAGCACTTGCCTAGCAAGTGCAAGGTTCTGAGTTCAATCCCCAGTACCACAAAAAAGAAAGAAAGAAAGAGAGAGAGAGAGAGAGAGAGAGAGAGAGAGAGAGAGAGAGAGAGAGAGAGAAAGAAAGAAAGAAAGAAAGAAAGAAAGAAAGAAAGAAAGAAA